CCAATTGGGGGAAAGGTTAGTTAGGAAGTAAGAGGAGCAGGGGTCTGCTGTCACTTTGGTATTCACAGGTGATACATCATTCTCAGGAAAGTCGCAAAACTTTCTCACCAGAGATGACAAAACGTGCAGCCCTACTCCATGGAGTACCCTATGGAGTTCCCCTAAAAATCATGTATTGGTTAAATAAAATACTTTATAAACATGGTAAATCATTTGATGTACATAGATATAGATGTACATAGATATAGATTTACATAGATGTAGATGTACATAGATGTAGATGTACAAGTTAAGATGCCAGTTCTCTGATTGTCACAGTTTGATACAGTCCAGTTGTTGGGGGCAGGGGGCTCTCAGTCTTACTAGTTCCTCCATTTTGGTTTTACCACTATGTAACGAGTCCTTTGACGGGAAGACAAAACACTGCCTGTGATACACAAAACCCACTGTTTTGAGTTCTGCATGAGGTACAATATTTGAGCTTCCTGCATTCTCCAAATCAACAGCCCCAATTGCAGTTATTTGCTGACCCATCCCTGTTTTTTTTTTTGTTTGTTTACAATTATCTCAATTTTGTTACAGCACTGCAAAGAGATAAGTGAAGAGAAGCTCAGGTTAAACACATGGATTACTCTTTTGAAGTCTTATTGGTAACCTATTAACATAAGCTTGTATCCTCATCACTTTACACAATCAGGAAACCCATCAGGGCTTTAGGTAATAGATTGAACTAATTCACACCTCTTAGAGACACCATACATGAACAGGTATTTTGAAAGATGTAAAACCTGCCGCCAAATGAAGGATATGCATACTTTTGGCCTCTTGAAGATCATAATCAGCCTACTAAAGAAAACGTTCATGGATTACATTTAAGCCTTCCACTTGAAGTGGCTAGCAGTTTAATGTTAAATTTAAGATGGCGGTCAAATCCTGGACTGTATCAAAATGTGGAATTCTGAGAGCTGGCAAGTTCAAAAGAAATTAAGATATGCACATCTAAACAATTCCCTATGTTTATAAAGTATTTTCTTTCACCAATACATAATTTTTTGGAGTACTTGCTCCATGGAGTAGGGCTCCGTAGAAATAATCTCAAAGAGTTTTATTAAATTTACAGGCCTGTTTGTAGCTTCATCATCATGAAAATTAGTCTGACGTTCTTTGAAAATTAAAAAGCTACTAACTATAAGTTAAGGGAAGAAGAACTGGGAGCAGCACAGGAAGAAGGAACGGTGTGGAGGATAATTCAAAAAGAATAATTCAAATGGAGTAAATTTATCACTTTCAACACAAATATAATGATATCCTGCAAACTTACAGTTATTCTTCGGGATATACATTCTGAAGGCATAATTTAGACAAGTTTGCCATGTTGTATGTGTAACACTTTAAAACATTTCACTCACTGGAAGCTGCAGACTCCTCCACTGGAAATTCCTCATCTTCAGCATCTTCTCCTTCAATAATAATATCAACAAGACAATGTTTTCGTTCCGTTTGTTACTTGAAATTAACCAAAACAGAAGAAATATACGAAACTTACTGATTAACAAAACAGGTGATGGTATTACGCGCGCGTAACGTACGCATGTGAAACGCCAATGAAGCTAAATAGTAGGATCACATCACATGCCATTGTTCAAAAGATGCCCTTTGTGAAAATTATGGAATCTTTTGGTCTCAGATACGAGTTTTTGATCAAAACTCAAGAACCGTGCGCGATGCAAAATGTAAAAAGGACTACTGGCGGTGAACAACGTTGCTTTTTAAAAACACGTGTTGGATGACAATGACTTTTACTAAGTTCTCACCTGAATTTCTGGATCTTATTTTTAAGCCACCGATCTAGACTGCTACTTTCATCACTTTCTATACCTTTGACAGAGTTTTCGGCCAGAAATATCACCTCTAAACATCACCGGCGGTGATAAGATCGACTCTCCCTAAACACCACAATGATGTCTATTCCGGGGGTGAGGGGTGGGGACTGAGTGTAGGGGTGAGAGTATGGGGAGAGGGGTAGGGATCAGGAGTATAAAATTACAATCCACTCGAAACAAACTCATAGTACTCGATGCAGTGAGAACTTTAATTTTATTGACTGAACAAAAGTAAAGTAATTTAGTTATAAAAATTTGTGCCTAATTTGGACGCAGAACATTCTAACTTTGCGATGGCTTTTACCAAGTTCTCTCCTTGATTTCTGATCTCATTTTGAAGCCACTGATCTAAACAATTTCTCACACCGCTGTCCATACCTATATCCCCGAACCCAAAACGCTAGTGTTCTCGGAATACGTGAACTAAACAAGAGACTGGGGCAAGTGATCAAGCGTACAATATGTTCTGGACTTCCATCCTACTTTCTGAAATCAGAACTGATTGCTCTCTTAATGAAACAGCTCCAGAAAGTTCGTCGGGATGGTACTTGAGGCAAGAGTGACGTCCGAGGAAAAGAGCGACCAATCAGAAATGAGTCAGTTGCTTCGCTCGTAAACAAAATTTCGGCAGACAGTCGCTGAACTGTGCGGTGATGTCTTAAAAGATTGAAGAAGGAACGAAGATTGTTTTTGTTGTTTCCGATTTTTTGGGCACTCAGCTAATGATCTCAAACATGATGGATGGAACAGAACAGAACAGAACAGATTTATTTTGCACTATCTCAAGAGATTACAGCAAAGATTACTATAGATTACAAAAGTAAAAATAAACAAGAAACAATAAATTACATAAATAATAAAAAGTAAACCGTGCGCAGTGACCAAAGCAGCTTTCGAGTTGGTTACTGCCACGTGTAACTAACTGGCATACTTTACATTTTTAGATAAAATTACAACTAATGAGTAGTGGACAAAGTAAAATTATAACTGCATGCATTCTTACTTACCAGCTCATGTGGTAACATTAATAGAATAATGATAGAAATAGAAAGGATTATTAATAGTGACGGCTGTAAATTTAAATAATACTCATTGGGTATTTAGAAGGTACTCTTTGTATTTTTTCCCAAACTTTAGATCCAGCAAAGGCAAAAGTAGCAGCTCCATAATGAAATGCTATATCAATAAGGATTTGGGTGTACAAGTCATTCTTATCATGATGCGTATAGCTAAGACTAGTGGTAAGAGGTCTATTACATAGTTCTTGACAAGGTTTTTTTGGCTTAGATGCATGTATAATTGCATTTGAAAAAAATATAACATGTTGAAAACATCGTGAAAACATTTGCAAAAGGTGTTAGCATCATGGGAGTTTCTCATATCTTTAGGGACTTAGCTTTCTCCACTTCTTTCAAACTCATGTTTTTACAAGCTCTTGAGATACATAAAAAAATATACGCGCGTTTGATTAACTCAAAACGAGTGCATTTTTTTTGTAACACGAGTATAAAGTCGTAAGAGGAATGCATAGATGTAACAAGAGTACATGTCACAAATAGCGCGGGCGCTTTCAAAATTTCGCCTGTCTTAACTTTCTATAATGCTTTTTCAAGCGGACCATTAACAACTTTCAACAGGATTTCTCATGCAATTTCGTTTGAATAAGTTGTGCTGCATTAACACCAAATCGCACTTGAAATTATCTCCATACCTATATTTGGCTACCCGAGCGTGCAAGATGGGCCGCGTACTGCCCGCTTTGATTCCGCGCGCCGCTTTTTGCGACTTCGTCGTCGACATTGTCCAACGGTTTCAAACTTTGTTAATCTGGTCCAAGCTATTTTTCTCTGACTTGTTTTGAACCAAAAAAAAATTGTTTGTAGACTTCATAAAATTATCATCTAAAGTTATTTAACACCCTTGAGATTGCAGAAGACAGTCAAAACAAAGAAAACATTTAACGAGCCTCTCGGGTACAGTATTCTACAAACACAGTTGGTTTTCTTTCCCGGCTCTCGAAATAAACAAGTCATTCTGGATTCGTATACAAGCGCAATTTTTTTGCCATGAAATAAATCCTAAGTAGACTAAGCTTGCTCGGTGAAGATGGCTGGATATTAGCCTCGTTCTTTTTCGACTTCGTCTCGGTGCACAACCACGCATAAAAGGAACTGGGCCAATATCCAGCCATCTTGACCTTACGTTTCGTCAATAGAAAAGGCGCATATTTCCACAAAGGGTGTTTGGGTGTTGTCAGGAAATTGTGTGAAAAATGGGAAAAAAAGTAGCCCGAGGGATTAAACACAAGAACATGGCATGTGAAAACAAACAGCTAATAATAGATCTAAACATTTCATCAAGTACACCTTATGACTGCTGAATTTTCCTCGTCAACCTATGCTGCAAAAGGTTATTTTTTTCATTCGTCGGGTATTGGTGACTGATAAGTCTCAAACATCAGCTAAAAGGCAAGTGTATTCAAAAGCACTTCACGCATGCATGCACCTCCGTAATTCTTTAGCTCCACAGAATTTACAACAACTGCCTGCGTCTCATTAGCATATAAAACCGAGTTCTACGGATTCACTTTATTGTTTCAACTTGAGACCTTGTGCGATTTTATCTAATCGAAAACAGCGAAAACACAAACGCTACCGATGGATAATCTCAAGGAACTACTTGCGCCAAAAACATTTAACAGAGTCAGCTACTTCGTAGTTTTTGGTTGGATCGTGATCGGTGTAATCTTTCTTGGTGTTTTAGCAGACACGGAATTAAACGAATCTCGGTCGGATTTCAGCTGTGGCGGGGCGAAGACTGTTCAAGACATCGACCT